AAAAAAAGAATATAACTACTATCTTAGAAAGAGAACCGTAATATTGCCACAGAAGATGCGGGAAGGAAATCGCGGGATTAGTGATCCTCGCGCGCACCTCATACTTTTCGCAGGGCGAGAACAGATCACTCAGTGTCGGTGTCGTCGATCGCGATCGTCTCTGTCCCTATCACGTCTATCGCGCTCATCGCGACGATGTCGGTCACGCGAGTGACTACGACGTCGATCGCGATCACGTGAACGAGACCTTGACCTAAAGTTAAGAGTTCTTCCTGCAGCTTTACGAATGAAGATTAAAACTCACCTTCTGCGCCTGTCTCTATCTCGAGACCTGTCAGGATCATGGGAACGTCTTCTCTCGCGCTCCCTGAAACAAGGCTTGATGCTGACATCCCATAAAACAATCATTCTACAGTGTTTTGAAAGTAAAAATAGTTCTGAAAATTTTAAAAATTGAAGTTACTAAGAGCGAATAGTCCATTTTTCATCAACAGATATCAATGTATATACATGCATCTATAACTAACACACTACTCCCGAGCCATTTCACTTTTCCATTCTCATGACACTTTAGAATCCCTCATTTCAGAAAGTTACTTATGTCATTTACAAAACGTCGAACGGGAAAGCAATAATGACGGCAACAAATATGACAGAGATCAGCCTGTCATACTTCAGAATTACAAACTCTAGTGAACCAGGCTGAACCAAGAAGCGCTTTTGAAAGGATAGTAGTTCCAATCCACATTGAAAACTTTACTGACAAGGGAAGGATACTCGGTCGAAGTGGCGATTCAAAAAGAATATATATCGTTAGATGCAACGCTGACTTCAAATCTACTTTCGATATCTGCGAAGCGCCTTTCTAAAAGGAGTGGAGGTTTTTCTCTATCAAAAAGGGCTTACAAGACCTTGCGATGGCTAAATAGATTGAAAAAAACATGTCTTCATAATAAAATTAAACCATTTGCTTGTTGTCCCTGGATGAATTTGATGATGTAGAGCAGTTATTAGCGAGGTGCACAGACTAATTTCAAATAGAA